TACGTGCATGATAGTACTATACAATGACGCTCTGATTTTGGTAATGTGAGACCACTTTTATGACTTGACTAAGTACTAGAGTCTTGCAGAATAATCCTACCCTATCTAGCCTGTGATTGCTTAGAGTACAGCCATAATAGACTAGGATAGTATTAGTGTCTGAATATTGGCGTAACCATCGCGGTAGCATTAAAGGCAATACCTCAGAAGTGATGCACTTTGTTTTAGGAGTAGATCCCTGGTCTTTATGTATGAAGACATTTTGCCTCAGTAGGGCAACGCAGTACGCCTTAATTTGACAACTTTCGACTACGCCGCTAAGTATGACTTCTGTAATGTTAGCTAGGACAAGTATACAGAAAAATACATCGAATAGGACAGAGAATGAAATGCTATGCTCTTGCAGAACACTAGTAAAGCAGAAAAATCATAAGTGTCATAGCAGTAATCTAAGCAAAAGCTCAGCCCGTATATATACGGGGCCCGTCGCGAAAGGGTTTTAACAGTTACTTGGACAGATTTTATGAATTGATCAATTTGAATGAGTTTTCGTATGAAGTGATTAATGTGAATAGCATTCACATGACACTCATAATCCGCATGGATTATGAGTGTCGACCAACCGAAATGGAAACGGACTGTCTATACGAGTTTGTGAGCAAATATCAGAAGAAAAGAAAGAGTAAAAGCGAAAAAGAATTCGACAGTCAAACGGCAACAGAAGCACCCACTCAAGTCAAGAAAGTGAAGGTCGGACGTTCACCTCTTCCTCGTTGCCAGCAGTGGCGTAGCTAGGATATTTTTCTTTTGCGTTCTGCGCTGTGCTTCGTGGGCAATTGCCCATAAAACACAGCGGAGAACGCAAGAGAAAAATATCCTGGCTACGCCACTGGTTGCCAGTTTCTCGACAGGCATCCACAATGCAAAACACACGTATTGAAAGAAAGAACTCAGCAAATAATACCCATGTTAACTGGACCGCAAATACCTCGAGGAGAACGAGAAAATACCAGAGAACGATACTGTCGAGCTATCTTGACACTGTTCAAGCCCTGGAGAAATGTACAAGATTTATGTGGTAATGATCAGACATGGACGGAAGCTCTCGAAAAACAAAACCATTTAATATCATACGCTTCCAGTCAAATCATCGAAAATATTCAGTTACTTCACGAGTGTCGGAAAGAAGGTAATGATAAACGACTGATACAAATTCTCGAACAATCCAACAGAGAAGATTCAGAACCAGTATCACTTTGAAAACATCATAATATGAGTCAGGATACTGATGATGACGAAACAGAGCAAGATCTTATGGAATTATTCAACTTTCACGAGAGTACAAATAAAACGGATTCAAGTGGTTTAACCTCGCTGCCAGATTATGTTCAAAATGCTGTTGAAGTGCTCGAGAAAGCACATCGTTTTGCGCATTTGACAAGTACACGATTATCATACAGTCTGATCTATTATCATTTGTTTCTTTTCTTTCAGGCGGTATTTCAAGTGCCCATTCGTCTATGGACTACAGTTCGTATTTTACACCAGCAACGCCTGATGATCGCAAACTAAGTATCAAATGGCAAAACACGTTAGTGCAAGGTAAAGAAAATGTTCGTGCAGCCTTATTGAAAGGCAGCAAAGAGGACGATACACAACCAGACGAAGATCAACTAAATCTGATCACTAGAGATATCACAATTATGCGAGATGAACACAGTAACAGTACCGACACTATTAACAGGACCACACTAACAGTATCACCACGATAACGACAGAAAGTTCAGATCCGATGTCGCAACAAATATCGATAGAATTTACATTAAGTGAAGAACAACATCGAGCATTTGTAATAATTACTGATCATCTCAAAGGCAAAAAGTTTTGAAATCAGGTAAGACAGTTTTGTTCTTTAATGAGAATATGTTAATATTATATGATATAGCCGATAAGCAAGAGCAACTACTGATGTGCGTACCAGGTCCTGGTGGAACGGGAAAATCACAACTGATCAAAGCACTCACCAAGTATTTTGAAGTCACAAATAAAAAATACTTCTTACGAAAGTTAGCCCCAACGTCAATAGCTTCATCTGAAATTGATGGTCTTACAATTCACTCGTTCTTAGGACCGATTAGTTATGCAAAGAAAAAGAAGACAGTTCGTCCCGGAGATGCAAAGGTGACCAGGAACTGGCATCACGTTCACTACATATTCATCGACGAGATGTCAATGGTTGGTCTGCATCTTTTGTCACAAATTCATAAACTTTTGTGTATTGCCAAGAGCAAGTCAACTGAGCCATTCGGTGGAATCAACGTGGTATTTTTCGGTGATTTTATCCAATATCCGCCCGTGTTAGACAAGCCATTATATCGCGATATGTTGGCAGAAAAAAACAATACGAGAATCAAATCGAAACAAAAAACTGAACTTGATACTCAATATGAAGTCGGACGTGCACTGTGGTTACAATTAAACACGGTAGTTCAGTTGACCAGACAAATGAGAACCGATGATCCTGCATTCTTAGAGGCCCAAAATCGATTACGTTACGGACAATGTACAACAGAAGATCATAAATTACTTTCAACACGAGTGATTGGTCATCAAAGCTGTCCGGTCAAATCATTGGACGATATCGAATGGAAAGAAGCACCTGTTCTCGTTTTCCTTAACGATTTAAGAACAGAACTGAATAATTTGGCGGTTATATCGACAGCTCGTGAAATTGGTGTAGTACTTGTCGTATGTATAGCACACGACACGTTCAATGCCGGTTCAGCTGTTAACGAAAAATTGCGGAAATTTATTTCTCGTTTGCCGGACAATAAAACTAAAGGACTGTGTGGTTATCTATTTCTCGTCATAGGTAAATTTATTCATGAAAACATTTCTCGACTACCATTGTTTTTTTCCTTAACTGCTCAGGTATGCCATTGCTGTTAACGGATAATTTAGCCACAGAGTTACGTCTCTCAAATGGTACGTCAGCAAGTCGCAGCAGCCTACGTGCCAGTATCAAGAGTGAAGAAACTTGACAATCTAGTATTTTTACGACCGTTTCCAATATCAGCTCTACGGGTTCCCCAAATCCAGATCCTCTAAAAGAACTCGACAGACTTGATCAACTGGACAAAATAACCAAAAGCCGTTTGGATTCTCTAGCGTAAATAGTGAACAGTTTTATTTGCTGTTCATTAGACATTTTTTAGATACAAATTGTGTATGCAACCTAAATTTCAGTTGCTCGTTTTTTTTGCACTTTTACGTGTTTTATTTTAAAAAATAAACATACTGTGGAGCACCGAAATCTGATGACGACTGGAAACGACACTCGTCTTAGTAGCTTCTTTTCCTATTACGCATATTCTCTCCTATTAACAGCGAATAAAATTCAAAAATATTCCAGATTATCACAATAAAACTTTGGACACAGCTTAGCAACCGATTGTTTGACGTACTTCTCTGTGTCATACTCTCAACAAACCGATATATATGGAAATATTTTTAATACTTTGAGACCAGGCATGGGCGAGTCCGAGCCGAGTCCTCAAAGATTTATTCAGAGTCCGAGTTCGAGTTCCTAACATTAAGGACCGAGTCCGAGTCCATTTCGAGCCCGGTAATCTTTAAGATTCTTTGTTGATGATTGTGGTTTATCTAGAGAAGAGAGATATAGACATATTATATAGG